CTCGAATTCAAGATTACGGCGAAGGAGGAATTGAATTTTTTTTAATAATTATTAATTACATACGTATATTTAGCCAAGTATTTCTCTCGAAGTGAAGGTCACTCAAGGTGCGTTCACACTGGTCGTTTCGTTTATGGTTTTACTGTAATTACACCACGTCCCTTTCGCGTAATCTTTGATCAGGAAAACCAAGTGCAGTCGACCAATGCTCGAAGGATTACGTAAGCGTCTGCTATTTTTTTTCACGTAAATAAAAAACGGACGCATTTCTCGAGTATCTCCGTGACGGGATTTCGAAAAAATATTAAATTTACACTTTTAATCTCGTATTCATCTCGTCTTAATTCTCTCTTTGATTTCATCCTCAAACGTTTACTGGAATGTTGTTCGTCCGGCTTGTCTTTTCTACCAGCTGACTTCGTAGCTACGTTCGTCGTCCCTCTGGTGTAGCATAGGTCGGGTCGTCATCGTAACAAAGAGCTCAGAGAACAGCTGGTGTCTACTTGGAAAGCCTGGGGCTCAAACCAGTATTTTCAGAAACTCAGACGCACAATGGCGGAAGTGACCTACCGGTCCATTTAAAAGTCCCGGGCACTTAAAAAAAAAAACTCGGATCCCACAGCAGTCGTTGCCGTTATATATATTATTTCTCCTCTTTTTTCCCCTCTCTTTTCTTATTCACCTTTTCATCGTACCCTCCTCCTTTCTCTCTTTCTTTCTTGGAATGGATTTTAAAGGCTCGACTTTTAACTGCGCCTTTTATGCCTGCCGGCACTCCCTATAACGAAACAGGTGGCGCACTCGCGCGTGCATATATACAAACACGATCCCTTCATTGCTACGACAATGGTCCCTATTAAAATTCGCTCTCTCGGTTTTACACACCCGGAGGATCATCGTCCTGCTGATGATTCGGCTCGTGTTTTGCTATCCGTATGATTCGGGGCGCATCGCAGCAAAGTCGGGATAATCCTTCTGTACCATATCCAATTCTTGGAATTTTCAATCAGGCTAATGATGAAAATTCTTTCTGCGGATTTTATTATATGTCAGCTGATCACGTGCCTCGTAGTGATTCGTATTGAGCGTCGCCTGATATAGTTATACGACGCCTGATAATCGCAAAAACTCAATCCGAGGTACGATGGTATATAGACTTTTGTTTTTCAGCGATACAAAAGACGCGGATGCTGCACAGTAAAATCTGAGACAGTTCATTATCTGCTTCTGTTTCTGTAACTGATGGATAAATGGGATTTCTTATAAAATTTGTAAATTTTTTTTTTTCAGTCTTTCTCACCCTTATGCACGATTTCACGTATACGAGCAATCTTCTTCATTTTGAATTTCTGCCACTTTCCGAGATAAAATATCTCGGTACTTCCTTTCTGGAGTTACTCGGTGTGCTCTATCTTCGAGATATATTACGTGCATTTGGTATATATCTATAGTTATACACCTCTTCCTTACCTTCCTTATTCCACCTTCTCCATTTCTCTAGCTCTTCTCGTCTCTCGATCTAAAGCTCATCCGACTACGATTTCCTTCCTTCTTGCAAAGCAATGCTACGTACGCAAATAACGTAAGAAAGGTCAGAGTGCATAGGTACTCAGTATCCACCTATGTAGGTATGCACCACATATCCCACGCAAGCATATGCATTCACTAATAAGAAGTAGCATTACGATATCGACTTCACGACTTAGGCTATATTTTCTCTCATCTTGGTGAACGAACGCGAAATTTATGCGCATAGATTATTGGCTAGAAATTAAAATTTTTTCGAGAATCCGAAAGTTTGCCAAGAGCTACGAAAATCAGTGTGGTGTTATATATACGTTCTGATCGAGTGAAAATTTTCTTTTGATTTAAAAAAAAAATTGTTTTCCACAAATTTATGGGTGGCACCATGATCTTGGCGTTTTCAACTTTATCATTGTCATTCGTATACGGTAGCCCCGTTTACTAAGAAATTTTACCATGAAAATAAAAAGCCTGGAAAAAACATAGAAAAGAGACACCGAGAATCGTGTCTCCGTGCCTTGGCGTTCAGCGGCTCTGGTTCGCCTGGCGCTTTCGAATGAGAAAGCACAAAAAACGTGAAAGCTCGTGGAAGCTCACGCGTTTGGTTACGCTTTGGCCTTCTGAAAAACGTAACGCTTTCATACAGAGCCCGTTAGCCAGAAGGAGGCGCGCGTTAGGGTTGGGTTGGTAAGAGGGGGTTACAAGGGACAGCTATCCATTTACAAAGCTTAGCTCCCCAAGGCTTAAGAAGCTTTTTATAAAAGCACTGACGATAAGCCGGCTTTAATACTTTATTTTATACGAAGCAAATGCCTTTTCCTTACCACACCTATTAGTACAGTCCGTGCATTGATTTTTATCGTGTCCCAATCCGAATTTTTAAGTTTCATAAATTTTACTTGATTTTTCCTTTTCTTTTTTAGCAATTAAATTTACCTGTTATCACTGTTTTCATTCGATAACTCGTAACAACAGACCTAGTTATACGACTGTTTTTGTTGCAACGAGAAATACACGAAACGTAATAAATTGCATTTATCCATGTTATTAATGTACATAGGACGAGCTCTGTGTACAATGCTAAATGCAATTGGTTATTTATGCAAATTAACGCAAATTTATGGCTCGTTTTCAATCGAAAGGTCGTCTCAATCGGCTATTGACCTGGTTAAAGGTGACGCTGCGAATAGCCTGACACTGGAAAATCGTCCGACGGCTCACAGTTGCAACTGTAGCGCGCATTTGCGAAACTTCCACTCAGCCCTTTTGCGGGACCACATCGTCTATTTATTTGTTGGAATTTCGTGTGCGTTTGCTGATCTTGCTACTGTACTTGCTGCTCGCTATAAATATCGCTCTCACACGTGCACGTGAATGGCATTAACGAAAGTAAGCCGAGTGCGTTTATTTTCCTTTGACTTTCTCCGTCTGGCGCCGATTCCCTGTCTTACGCACGTGTGAACACGGCTGCAGTTCTCGTGCTGCGTATACATACGCGATAACGAGGAATCGATGAGATTTCTTTCGGCGGATTAATACTAACGATTTTCATCCCTTGCGAACGAGCCTTTACAATCGAGGCTGCTCGGTAGTTTGATGATCCTGAAATGTTGCCCTTGCTGGAACTTTTGAGTGCATCGTAGAAAAGTTTTGTTTTCATCTACACTGTTGTTTTCTATGACGCATATGTCATATTCAGAAATTACGTCGAAAATGTGCCAATTCGAATTTATTGTATTACGATAGAAGTATTTACAGATTTCAGTAAACCAGAGCTCAGCAGAAATTACTGAAAATTTGTCTGACGGCCTTTTAAACGATAAACGATTCTGTGGAGTTCATGGAGATGAACCGGAAGCTGATCTTTGATTCGGTTCTGCCAAGATACTTTGGCAGGATTTTATATTTCCTTTTATTCTCTTTTTTGTCCCCTTTGGAATTTTTATATTTACTTAGTCACGTAATAAAATTTCAATCCTACAACCTCTTACTTGAATCTTTAATAACTCTGATCGGAGCGGGCACGAGGCGGAATCCGTTATGCAATTGGAACGAGGTAATTAAAACTTTTTAAAGTCTTAACTCTGAGTTTAACCTCGAAATTAAAAACTAATATTATCCCACGAAAGCTCGCGTTATTTTTCTGTCCATCCTTAATAATCATTTCTTTAATTTACTTCATTTTTCAACCTTCCTAACAATGATACTCTCCCTAACAGGCGTTCTGTACAATTTTACACTGTCCGAGGTTTCCCATCTTCGAATAAAAAGTCTATGGGCCGTCACGCTCGTTAATTCAAAACCTATTGAAATACATTGCAAGTATATAGATCGTCGGCTTTGATATTAAACGTTAACCCGCTGCGAGGACGGTTGGGTCGTTTATTATATCGTATGACATTATACCTTTTTTTCCTTAAACCTTTTTCTGCGATCCTTCCCATACGCATCACGAGGTAAGAAAATTAAGAGACAGCCCAGACGGAACTCCAGGTGGGTTATTATAGTCGTTTCGACTATATCCAAGAATTAATCATTAATGGACGATAATGATCGGATCGCGAGCACCCGGCTGTAACAGCGTGATAATATATGTAATAAGACAGGCAAACCTTTTAACGTATAAAACGCATGGTTTACTCAGGATCCGTGCGCCCCGTGGGCTTTATGCACATGCCGTGGCTTTTATTAGCAGCGTAATGCGTTAGACAACATTACATATAATCACACTCACGCAACCAGTCTCTCTCTCTAACCTATACTAAAGGGAAAAAGTGTCAGAGAGCTTTTAGAGATTATTTGAAAAAAAAAAAAAATCTGAAAATTCTGAATAATTTTTATATCAAATTTCATGTAAAATTACTAACGGTAATTGTACCATATGGACCTGTGGGATAAGTATCCATAGCATAATTTTTGTTGGATTTTTTTTATAACGGGTGTCGTAAAGTCTCGGCTTAAATGGTTAATATGTTATGCGCGTGTGTTATATAGTGGCACTATTTTCGTACGTTCACTCCATACCTACCTCGTTTATCAAAACGCATTATCCGACGAAAACTCAGGGATTAATCTTTTTGCCGTCCTTGGGAGAAAATCTACTTGGATATTACGGAGAACCGTTTCACGCCCATTGCTCATAATTATCATTTTTCTAGGAGATCACGACATGGCAAACGTGACGTTTTATTTGTCTGGCACTTGGCCAGGGTATACTCTAATGCCGCTAATGCTGAGTATATCTAACCTATCTAAAACCTACCTAGCTATACCTTCGTTAACTCTTCTCGCGACATGCCTTACTGGCTAAATAAATCAGTCTGGCAGACGTGTCATGCTGACTTTAATTAAGACTGCTCAAGTCCTTCTGCATGATACGGTCGGTTCTTACGAATTGAACTTTTTTATATGGTATTGGTTGACGGTGTATTTATTTTTGGTAATAACTTTGTTCTTTTTTTCTTTTTTTTCTTCAGGTGAGTTCAAGGGACCCGGACTGTACCTTATTGGATCGTATAATGGTAACGTTAAGTTCATTAATACCTCATCGATAGTGATTTGAAATAATAAATTATCGACTTCATCTCGACGAGATATTTTGTATTTCTCTTCGAGTTACGGACACGCGTGCAGGTATGACGATTGCAATTTTGTCGGGTTTCCAAATTTTCGTGACTCTATTCCCAAACCATGATACCTGTTCTCAACCGGTAGATTCGCGAGACTTTATTTTCCGATTACTCGAGGCGCAATTTCGCTTGGGGGAATTGCAGGCATTTCCAGCGTAAACGAGCCATTATCTACGAAAAGCTCGCATGTAGGCACTTTATATTTAAACGAACTGCTTTCTATTCAAAATAGTAGAATTCTCCATCCCTTTCCGTAGCTTAACGTTAAACCAACTGCCATACGCTTTTGCTCGGCTCTCTGTGGATTTAAATAATCAAAATCATGAGTGTCTTACACATACACCCACACGCGAATAGGAACCGGAAGAAGTCCAATTCAACTATCCTTACCTTTACGCTTATCGTCGTCTCGTGCATTTTAAATACCTTCTGTACGTATTACCTCATTAAGTTATTAGATGAAATTCCCATCTCGCGCTGCAGTTTACGGGAACATAGTAACTCCCTCATATCTTATTTCTACGCACGAGTACAGATATAACATAGTTTCGTCATAGTAAGCACAAAATTATTCCCTTTTCGAAAAACCGGGTTTTCGTGTGTCAACACGCATTATTTAAGTAAGAAATATATATATATATATATATATATATATATATATGCAATGTGTCTACGATATCGGTATACATAATGTGCATGTATTTATAGAAGCGAGAAACTCAGATCGTTTTATCAACTGAATTTCTGTACGGTCTGTTCCACGCAATGTATATAAGTCGTGCTGATAGAAGGCTGTTCACTGAACAAGAAAGCTTACTTCTCCGTGACGAACGCCGAACGGATGGGAGCTTACGTCTGCTTCATTGACTTTGATTCTCCATGAACCAAAGAAGTACGTCCGAGTTCGAACGAAACTTCATAACGTTCTGGCAGCCACCGTAAGTCCACTGCTTGACTATTGCTGCTGCTGTAGGTATAGTTGTATCGATAATATAATATAGTAGGCGTATGGTCAATGTATTAAATTCCTTGATTCTTATGAAATGTGATAGTCGAATAAATTTTGATGATACAGTCAAGCATTATCACCTGTGGCTTTTAGTGTGGATCTTCAGCTACGCTCCGATACGTAGTATACATAGGTATAGTTAGAGAAGTGGACGCTTCCAAGCAAGAAGGGGGGAGAGAGAGAGAAAGCGAACGGGGATGCAATCATGAGAAGCCGCCGCGTTGGCCAAAGGTGGCTTCTTGTTTGGAGCCAGAGAGATAGGCTAAGAATGAGTAGCTAGGGGATGATGGTGCAATGGCCAGAGTGGAGGAGGATCGAGAAGGGATGGCTTAGTCAGCATCTCGGGAGGGTTGAAATGAAACCTCGGGCCAGATGGGGATTGGTAGAACTGACTCTTCTTGGCAACTACGCCTCTTTTCTACCAGCTGTTAGTCTCTAGTTGCTGATGGCAGAGGGGAGCGAGGGTGGCGGAGAAGGGGGGGGGGAAAGAAGTTTAAAAGCAAAACTGCCCTTTAAAGTCCACTCCCTTGCCGGATGCTGCTTGCTGTGGTTAGATTGAACCTCGACGTTGCTACGTACTCTCTTTTCTCTTGGAAAACTTCATCTTCGTTCTCTTGAAGGAAAATTCAGAGTCGGGGACCGTCGAGAGCGTGCGGTATGGTATGGATGGAAGAAGAAGGATGCTGGGCGGTTTTGCGGATGCCATTTTGAAAAATCGATGCTCACGTCGTTGATTGGCTGGAAAATATGCTTTGAGGGATATGGAGAGACGTATAGGGATTTTACATGTTCCTTCGTTATTATGGGGTGGTTGTAAAACGTGCAAACAAAGGCGACTGTTGCTTGAGACATGGTATAGGGATATTTTACGTAGCTTTGTATATAACTTCTTTGGTATAACTCTGATATAAAATTGGTTAATGTTATGGAAGAACTTAGTATCTGACATTTGTCAAATGGATTACTAATCTTGACTGCTGTTGGACAGTCGATGTCTGTCTGTTTATATGTAATGTATGGTTGATATATATATATTTTTTTTTAAGTTTGAAGGATATTCCCGTTCAGTAAACTTTATGGGTATCCTAAGTTAGGGTATAAACGAATTTTCTCTACGCGATACGATTACTAGAGAATTTTTCATTTCCAGTAAATTTTATCGAACCACTTTCATCGCAGGAAGTCTCCGTACGGGATACCAGGATAATCGTGGGAAATATCGAAATTTTCAAAAATTCTAGGTTACGTACAAGTTTAGCAGTAGTCTCCTACGTGCTCATTAACCCTATTTCAATTAGTAATTTCCCTATACGAATCTGTTATTTTATGAAAATTCGAAAAATGCTAATTCCGACAAGAACGAATTCGATTACCAACACTCAGCGAAAGAATATACTGGAAATTGTTAGTGTTCGATTCGCGTGTAATATCGTCGTATTTCGTAACGCAAGTATTCCGCTACGTAGTCAAAGGTACCTTTGACAGCATTTCTTGGCGCTCGTTATACACGGCAAATTACCCGTAAAATATAGCTAGAGAATTGCACCTTACCGTTTAATAGGATCCCAGACTTTACAGAGTTACAAATCAAGGATGCTTCTGATTGCTGGTTAGCGCATGCGCGATTTAAAATCTTCTCACGTTCTTTCTTTTTGTTCGCCTCATTTCTCTTGCGTTAATTCTCTCTCTGTCTTACTCTCCTTCCCTCCCTCCTCCCTCTGTTATATTGGTCCAAGCTACAGTCTCTTCACTTTGAAATCTTCGACGAGTACTTAGCTGCTCTTACAGGTTATTTTGGTGAAACGAAATTTTTTAATGTCCGGAGAAAATTATTTTTTATTTGCAAAAATTATTATTATAGGCAAAATTGGAATCTTTACCTTTTCACCATCCTGATAATCGAGTGGTGTTCGGGGACATTTCACTGTTTGGGATTCTATTTTAGACGTTGAACGTATTGGCGAATGTGAGAAAGTGGTCCAGGACATGGATAAGCATGAATACAGAAACTACGAGCGAAATCGAGCCGCTGAGTTACGCTATCGGTCAATGTCTGTCTGTAAATCGATGAGTAACTCCTGGAGGCGTGGTGCCGAAATTCGACGCCGTTAAATTATCAGCGCGTTCTCTCACGTCTCGAGTTATCCAAGGTGGCGTCAGTTGCAATCCATTCTCTTTGATATTTGATGCCCCTAAGGTTTCACGGGTAATACCGGTAAGTTTCGCGTTTGAAATGCCGTCGCGAACTTTCGAAGTCGAAGCTCGACGGAAACTCGCCGCTCGTGCTCACCACGTTAACCCAAGGGGTTGACTGCTCTTAATCGTTTGTTTTCTTGACTTCCAGAACGGTACATCGTTAGACGTTGGATTAAATTAGAGCAACTATATTAATAATTTCTCTAAAAAAATGTAGGTAATAAAAATTGAATACATTTTTTTTTAAACAGCTTTTGAGGCACCAACGTTTTTTTTTAAATTTTACTTGATCTATGTTCTCTTTACATAAAACTACTTGTCTGCCTTGTACAAAAAGTAAACTAAAAGTTCCACACGCGGTATCGGTTTGCTATCGGTTAGAAAGTCGAAGCTGGTTAATCCTTTTCGAAAAGTTTGATCTCACGATGGAAGAGGATTTTCTTCCTGGAAGCAACCCTATCCTCACCCTATGGTGTATCTACGGTGCGGTACTGGCCGTAATAGGATGTGCTTACTTGAGCTAATGGTCCATGAACACATACACAACCCCCAACTTCGAAATCCACCACTGTGTGCCTCTAGCTATTCCCTGACGTACCGTCTACCTAGGAGTTTGCGAGGATCGATCGAAGGCGCAAAGATGAAGGAACATATATACCTATACCGTATAGGTTGCATGGAAAACTTTAAGAAAATGAAGCTTCACATTCCCAGAATGTATAAGCTCAGTTAGTTTAACTTTCAAGAATATTCTGCTGGCTCGTTTTGCTTTTGAAACGCACAAAGTTATCATGCACGGTTCATATATACATATATACAAAGACTGATATCTCTCGAAGTATCTGTACTTGCTTGTTTAACTAGATACCGTAGCAGGTATCTAAGAAGTTAACCATCTTGGTTGTGACAATGTTTTATTTCACATTAATTCCATAGAGGGCGTCCTAGATTGAGCCGTATTTTACGAGAACCCTATAATCGTTTGCGTTAGAACCGTAGTGTGGCGCCACATGTAATTTGCCGGACACTACGTGAAATTATATACGAGCCCCAGTGAATTGCTGAAAAATTCTTTACGAATTTTTTCCTCAAGGTAGCCACGATAATTGGCAGGTGATTTCGCGGTGAAGTATAGGCACCCGATATGAAAGATGCATCTCTCCTAATTGTCCCAGTGGTGGTTGCAGAGAGGATTAATATGCTGACAAGACAAACCGGTCTTGCACGAGACAAGATCTAGTGCGGCCATAAGTCATGACCAAATGGCCCAGGGTCCTTCCGCTCAACTTCCTAACAGAGTCGTCGGAGTTTCTTCTTATTGTTTATCGATGACTCGAGCTCACCCCGATAATACCCACCCCCGTATAATCCAGCGACGCTTCTTTACCTCGCTCCCAAGTTCCGGACACTTCCGCTACGGTGGCGCTCTCTGTCTCTTAACTCCTCGAAGGATATACAACTCCGCCATTTGCCATCGCATCGAGCACGTAAATACATATACATAACTGAATAGCATGGGAAACTGTGTAAAATGATTTCTTTATGATTTCCCTCTCTCTCTTCCCCCCCTCCCCCTCCCCCTCCTACACTCCCTACACTTAACCGAGCACTGGTGTAAGATATAGCAAAGAAAATTGCCCGAACTAATGCTACGAATGGATCGTTAAAACTTTACGAACTAAAGGTT